ACGGTATTATCAAAGAATCCTGACGACAATATTGCTTCACGAAATGACAATGAAAATTCAGTCGAAGTCAGTGTGTACAGGCAGTCATAGGAATTATCCACATGAACAAAATCACACTGCACCTTGTCTAACCTTCTCACTTACCTACCAAATTTATCTATATTGATCATTGAAAACTGTCTATCCCTTGCACCAGAGAGATATTGCATGGAGTTTAAAATTGTTTAGTGTAGTTTACCCGTAGTAGTATTCTTCAGTGAATAAAACGTCATGGCTTATCTCTTTAAATTTGTCTGGCGTCAGTTAAAATGCGCGAACAGACTTCAGTTAAAACCATCAGTCCTAGTGTTATTTGAAAACACTCGTCTTCTTACACATTTCAGACCTTCACAACCACTTGCAGAATCTGTAATCGTTCAGCTTATGAAGAAATTTGACGTTTGCTCTTTGATTTATTTCCTATTAGACAGAAACACGTCCAAAATCAATTACTTCAAATTTCCGTAAAGGTTCATTCATTATGCAACTATGACGAAGAAATGTAATGGATCTCAGAATGCTTCCTACCTTCAAGTCATTCGAAAATGCATAACACAAACAAAGTTGACTGAACAGACAGAGTAGAGACATATTTCATGCGATTCATTCCTCACTCTGAATAAATCTGATGAGTGAACGAGCTTGAGATTGGTTTCCGTGGTTGTCATTTGACTGATGGATGAGAACATCGTCTGATTTACTACTTGGTCCCAGGCCCTGAAAGAGATGGAGGGTCGGTCGAAGGGCTAGTTACTCTATCCCAGAAAATCAGTCGGATGACTACAGACACTTCAAAGCACAAGAAAAGTGTAAAACGCCGACTTGTCATTAACTGGAACGTGGGCTGGTGAAAACCCATGGGAAGCCAGTCAGCCATTGTTTATTCTTTCTATGAAGGCGAAAATAAACATTGGGACGTGCGATGCTCGCACACTGCATCCAGTTGGGAAGGCTGCTTTGTCGGCTGAAGAAATGAGGAGAAATAACAAATACGCTTCATGAACGTGTGAGGGTAGGTGGAATACAAGTGGGCTTTGAAAATCGTTAACTGCTGAGTCAGTAAACACTTCTGGTTGCACAGATGACAACCATGAGCATACTGAGGGAGTGGATATAATAATGTCACCTACAGTATTCAGAGATCTCGTACAGCGGGAAACAACCTCACGCAGCACGTTGACAGCGATATTCAACTCAAAAGGAAGGAAAGCTGCAATTCTACAATACTGTCTGCCTACAAGCAACACAGAACATGAAAGGAAGGAAGAATTCTACAGACTGCTTTAAACAATAATTAACAAGACTCCAAAATCATAATGCCTAATGTGAATGATGAACTGTGGGGGGAAATTGCAGGTAGAGAACTCATCTTGGGTCGAGAGACTCTCCCTTGGCGAAATGAATGAGAACTGAGAACTATTTACAGAATTTGCGCCTTCGGTAATTTGTTGGTTGGAGGCGGCGTGTACCAGCACAAAGATTTACACAAAGTAACTTGCACTTCACTTGTCGGATACACCAAATGCCACAGCCTCACGAGAATGGAGACATAGTCTGCTTAACTCAAAATCGAGATAAGGAGCAGATGTAGGCTCAGACCACCATCTAGTTTAAGGAAGCTTCATGGTCGAGTCGAAAATCTTCAGAACAGTAGAACATAGACCAGTTCAAGTTGAACACTCAGAAACTGAGAGACCAAACTACATTAGACACCGTTGCAACCAGTAAAGTGAAATCTGAGACAGTGTGTAGCATCACAGAGGAAACCTTTGTGGAAGTACAATGAAACACTTTGTAGATGACATTGTGAGAAAGCTTCCCAGAACGCGTAGGAAAAAGGAAGTGGAAAGACAAGAAATAGCTTTCGACAGACGGCTGGAAGCTAAGCGAACAGATGGGGTTGGAAAAACGAACTGCAACAACGGGAGGAGAAGTTGGCTTCAGTACACAACGCACTGTAAACAGAAGTAAAGAAGTGATATGAGACAGGTCTACGACACTCTAGCAACCACAGCATAACAGGCTTTAGGTCACAGAGACTTCGGAGAGACTTCAGCAGATATCTCGACACCACTATTGGAAATTGGTTGAAAGAATGAATATGCCTACTCATCGTGAGGAAGCAGGCCTTGTCAAAATCACAAGAAAGGTCGGTTTATTTAGTAGTGTCGTTATGCGAAAAACTGAAAGGTGCTCTCTATACAGACGTCCGCCCGGAATTAACTGAGTTCAGGGAAAGCGAATCGTGTACCTGTTTAATCGGAATGCTGTCAATATCATTGTACAAAGCGTAGAATAGCAGTCAAATCTCCACTTCACCTTTGTCGACTTTGAGCAGACCTTCGATAGAGTTGACCTCGAAGTTATTTGTAAACTGTTTCAACACCACGAAGTGCCCCAATTAATTATTAACCTAATTCAACAACCATATGATAATTTCACATGTTGAGTGACCCACTGAGGAAAACTCGACAATGACTCTGAAGTAGAACCAGGAGTAAAGCAAACCTTTTGAATACCATCAATGGTATTCCCGAATAAGGGTGAACGGAAAACACGCCAGACAGTGTGGAGCCACACGACGTGTTCGAACTTTGCCGTCGTCTTCTGTTTGATGTCACACAAACTCAATAATCTACAGGTGGTTACAATTAATTTGGCTTAAGAAGAAACCGAGATAGAAATTCAAACGAGAATAGAGAAGACAGATTCGAAATGGAAAGTTAACCACCAGTTCGAACTACAAGAATCAGTGGCATACATTGAAGGAATTTGAAGGAGATCACTTGTTTCGTTTATTTAAGCACCATTTCAACTACAGTCGGAACGGATGCAGGTGCGAGAGCCTGGATCAGAAGGGCAAGGCAGATCTTCATTAGTCTGAATTCAGTATGAAAATCTCCTGCAGTCAGCATACATAAAAACGTTCGAATTATCAGCACTAATGTCATATCAGTTCTTCTACTTGGTTCAGAGACTTGACGCGTCAAGTGGACCATTATCAAAAGGTTAAGGTGGGCTTTCATCAACACTTGCCTTCAATCAATGCTGAAGATTAGATGCCTACAGAGGATAAGCAACATGAAACTCTGCAACTGAAGTAACCAAGAGCACATTGAACAAAAAACATGCCGAAGAAAATGGAAATGGATTGGACGCACACTGAGGAGACCAGTAAATGACATGGAGTGGCAAACACATCAATTTGATACAAATGGGAATCTTTGAGGTGAGCGTAAGTCCCAGTGTGACATTTAAGATATCGTGTGCGGAGAAAATGAAAGTTTACGGGAAATCGTGAAGCCAGCCAAGGCGGACTGCACAGAGCACGTTGAAATGGAAGTGGACTACTGAAAGTCCATTCAGCACTCCGAATCGAATCTGAGTAGTCATAATAACTGATGTCAAGCAGCAATATGAAACAACAAACGATTGATTTGCTTTCTGTTCTTTGATAACAACATTTTTATTATTATTGGTAGTAGCTGTTGTTGTAGTAATAGTACCATTGTAACGAAAATCAGAAGAAGAAGACAAAACTGAAAGGGTTCAGCTCACAGGAGCATGGAGACAATTCTTTTTATATAGTATAAGATGTTGAATTTCACCACATGTTAGACAAGTTTATTTGACACATTAGTACAGCACTATTAAGTTGTTTATCTTTTAAGCACAATGTTTTGCTAATAATCATATCAATTCATCCACGGAATTTCATAATTTGCTCCACATATGTATAAATATCTTCCCTATATTTCCCCTTTCTTGTCTATTGCAATTTTCTGTATGGATTCTGTCTAGACAGTGTTTTTTTTCGGTTGAATGTATTACTTACTGATTGGATGATTAAAGACTCAGTGATTGACCTCTATCTTCACATGAATATATCGCCTTTTCATACTTTCACTCAATCCCAGCATATTGGGTGAATGCATTGCAATGGATGAGCTATTTCTAGGTTATTTTACTCAACACGGCCAATCATTCTAGGTCTGGCTAAATTTCTGTGTTCTGATAACCTAACCGACCGTGACCTAACAGTCTGACCTATGTAACTGACCTCAGAGTCATTGCATGTTGTTTCACAAATTTGTCTTAGTTGGATCAGTCGGGTCCTTAAGCCGATACACTCTATCTATTGAGACAGTTGGTTCGTTTGACAGCCACCCCTTTCTCGGCTTCACGAAGAATTCCACAATCTTGTTTTAATTCGTTTTATTTTACAGTCTGGAATGGTCAACTCACCTCGTTCATTTTCTAACTCAAGGGTGAATTGGATTGCATCTCCTACTGAGTTCATATGTGTGAAGAAGTGAGAGAAATGCTGAGATTTCAACAAAGTGAATGCATCATCCCCACCTTTTCCAACATAACCTAGGAGAAGTAATGAAATTTCTAAGGGCTGTATTTTCCCACCTATCCATAAATGTCTACTACTACGTGGTGGTGGGGGGTTGATGATCCTACTGACACACCATTCGTTCGTTTGTCCATTCATTTTCTCTTTGGGATTCGAAGAGAGTGGAGGTGAGACATAGCTGAACACCTAATATTATTTCATCAACCAAGAGTGAACTATGTGGTCTTGTGAATAAATTTGTAGGATTATGAGCAATGAATTATGCTTGAGGCGTAATCCAGTTACTAACAATGTATCAGTGTTCATTACATCAAATATATTTATCTAATATGGGGCTTACTGTACCACAGTGCTCAAATCCTACTCTGATATAATCTATTACATGTTGTGGACACACACATACACACGCACACAGGCACACACGAAGTAAGATGAAACAATAATGAAAACTGACACTTTAACAACACAACTAAATCTAATTTAACATCGACAAATACAAAAATACTTTAATGATATCGTGATTCGACTGTGTGTTAATTTTATCATTTATCACTCGCTGTAAGGAAGGGTCCAAAATCCATTTCGACGTTAGTATAAAACGTGCTGAGAGTTGAGTGAGAAAGACATTGACGAAGACAAAATAATCATGCTGTTCACTTCTGTGTTATTCCTGATTGTATTTCTGCTCGCCAACTCGAAATATACACTCGCATTAGTCCCGAAACCGTCACATTACAACAGGAGTTCGACAGCCTGTTATTTACAGCGTCCACTCAACTACCAGAATGACTACCCAGCATGCTTTGTACTCACAGACTATCTGAAGAGATTTCAACGTCGACTAGCACTGCAACATCCGCGAATCTCTCAGCAACATGAGATAAAATGCAACATAAGCGAATTGAAAATCAAAATAGACGATGGATGTGACGAAAGTAAAAATAAATTATGGCCAAATGTTTCCATAGATGAATCATGTAAGTTACACCACAGCTAATGATTTCGCTCCTCAATTGTCAGACTATATAACCATAAGAGATACTGAAATAAACATACTTTCCATGGAAGTTTGGGGTGTAATACATGCGCTTGAAACAATACTTCAGTTGGTATACAAGGGTAAATTTGGAGGAGTGAGTTTTGTTTTGAATGAAGATTTTTCGCATCAATGCATTTTATGTAGAATGTGGTATTTCAAGGTGATATAATAGATGAACCAGAATTCTCACACCGTGGATTGTTGATAGATACTGCGAGGAACTTCATGTCAGTTGAAATCCTACGGAAAATGATAGTAAGAAGTGTTATGTAGAACATAGTGTCTTCTGTTCACAGGATATCATGGCTATTGTTAAAATGAATGTCCTTCATTGGCATATCACAGATGACCAATCTTTTCCCTTTGTCTCAACCACCTATCCAGAACTGTCAGACAAGGTGAGTTAGGTTAGAGTCCAGTCATTTGATAATTCTGATTCTCGTCTAAATCTGAACAGGGTGCATATCATCCACAAAAGTGTACATATGACGAAGAAGAAGTATCTGATTTATTGGAATACGCCCGTCTCCGTGGAGTCCGGATCATTCCAGAATTTGATACTCCAGGTAGGTAACGTTAACGACATGTAAATTCATGCAATTATCAACCAAATTTCATCCATCTGAAGTAGTTTGTGTTTAGCAAATATTTGTATCAGTGTGCAAACAGTTTTGAAATAATGCTGAGAATGAAAGGTTTAGCCATGAATTGAAGACAGATAGTCACACCTTTAGGAAATTGAGTGCAGTTTATATCTGAATCTGTATACTGAGATGTACTCAACCAAGTTGATGAAATGAGTTGATGGTGAGTCACTTGAAAGACTAATCTTTTATGAACGTTTTGGCCACTTTGCAGTTCAATTCAGATTATTCAAGGTTTATGATTTCGAAGGGTGAGTTGGTAGGGATTTGATTGTTTTCGTGTTTGATCACTTATCGATGTTAGTTGGGGAACTACTGAATAACGGCGATTAATGAGTGGCTGCTTTGTACATGTTTGAGACTCTTCAATAGTATGCAGGACGTCATCACCGATATTCGAACCCAGTTACTTACAGTTACACGGCAAATTTGCAGAATGAAGCATGAATCCCCACTTTTTTCTATTCGTTATCTTAACGCGACAGCAAAAGAATGTCATTGGCGAGTATTTTTCCTCACATCCGATCTAATTGTATTTATTTCTCTTCAACCCACTGATAAAAGCAGACAATTTGACGATGACTCCAACAGCAGAAATATGTGAATGTCATTAGTTATAGAGTCAATGAGTGTTTCCAGTGTTCGATGAATCCATTTAACGTCTCAGAAATGATTCTCAAGTGAACGGATGTAGTTGATGTGAAGCATGCATCTGATATATGTGAAGAAAACTAGATTGTTTCAGAAAACATCATAGCTGACATCCAGTTTCAGAGGGTGAACATACAAGTCAATGGCTCTATGTCAGATAGGCAAATTATTTTCAATGTCGTTAATTATAATGACTGATTATTGTCAAAGTAATTCTCATTCTTCAACACAATCATCCTTTGTAGCACATATGTTGTCATGGGGAACAGCATATCCAGACATACTGACAAAATGTTATAATGATTCCAAGCCAAACGGGAAATTCGGTCCACTGAATCCAGCCAATGAATCCACGTATGAGTTTTTGAAGCAATTCTTCAAAGAAGTCATTGGTAGATTTCATGACAGTTATATTCATCTTGGCGGCAACGAGGTAGATTATGAATGCTGGTGAGTTTTCTTGATTTTCAGTAAGATTAAGAGAAAGTGGATTGTTATAGCATACGTATATTCTCATGCTAAACTGAAAGTTCAATCCTTCTTCATTCCCACTTGAGATGAACGGAGGCTGAACTGGTCTCATCTAAACAATATTCTCATTATTTCAATTACGTATCATTATTTAGTGATTTGTGTCCACAGGGAACAGTGAATTGCAACCTCTGTCACTGTCTGATTTCCAATACTAGCGATACATGATTGACTACTATTATTATTATTATTAATATATCTATCATTATGATATAAACACTTGACTGTGAATCACTCACTGTGGTCTGTCTTGGTAGGTATAACTCAATGGTAGATAAACTGTGAAGCATGATAATCCCGCAGTATTTGACTTTTCAATACCAAACACGATTTCACTTTGACAATCAACTGACGTAGATAACTCTCCATCAGGCTGGATAAGTTCTCCTGCTTACTGTCAAATCTTTATTAGAATACCGAATATTATGGCAGTCATCCATCTCATCCACTTCCTTCCATTGAGTGACACAAATATCCTCATCTAGAGTTTCTGATTAATTCTCTTGTCAATCAATCATTCAGTCACAAATCACAACTGAAGATTTGTTGATAACGAGACTCCACTGTAGGTGATTTTAAGCGATCACTGACTAAGAACATGGAATCAGTAAACTGAAGCGCTTTCTCCCCTTTCCTTCCCTTTTCTCTTCAGGAAGTCGAATCCGGAGATAGTTGAATTCATGCAAAAAATGGGGATTAATGATGACTACTTTGAATTAGAGAAATATCACTTTATGAAAGTCATACAAATCGTCAAGAATATGACGACCGACCCTGACTATCCAATGACGCCTATTGTCTATCAGGAGAGTTTTGTCGAAGAATGTGGAGTAAGTTTTGGGGAATCCGTTTGGTATCAAATCAAGTCATTCGAAACTGACTGGTAATTATTCATTTAGGTAATTATTTTACTTGATATGAATTGTGGTCAAGATTTGACCAAATAGTAGCACAATAATTCGAGGACATTTGAGACGTGGACATATGTGAAAATTATCTTTGTAAACTGTCAGGAGTGTCCATTGCTTTGCATGCTCAACCATTTCTACTTCTACATTTTTTCTTTATTGCTTCAAAATTTTTGTTTGAATTTCTTGTTCTTTTCAATCTAATGTCCCGATGGGTATTTTCCACGATTTGTTCTATTAAAACCATACTTCTTCAAAAAGTCATGGTACACACAGACAGCAGGAGTAGTAGCAGTGGTAGCAAATATATACATATATATATATTCTTATGAACTGTGATCAAGATTTGACCGAATAGTTCCAAAATAATTGGGCTTCGAGGGAGAAGTAGACATTTGTAAAAATTATATTTGTAAAATTTCAGCGAAATTGAAATGAATAATCCCAACGTTTCGTTCGGCAATCTGGTCCGAACTTCTTCAGGAAAATTAATCGAAATTAACTTAACAGGGGTTTATGTATACAAAGCAATAAGAAGACGTAATTTCTCTGAATCGTGTAATGTATATACACACTTACACACTTAGAACAATCTGATCACACACGGACTTGTCCTAGGAATATATGTGAAATTAATAAAGATTTAAGACGTGAGAAATTATACTTAGATCAAGTGAAAAGGACATATTGAGGGTCAAAATAACAATGAAGATCACTAAACCAAATTATAGAGGTAACAAATAGTACATCTATCCTGGCTGGTATCAAATCGAAGTTTACCAAGGAAGGTTTAGTGTGATGACGAATTGTTTTTGAACGCACAAAGGAGGTTCAAATTTTCTAATTGCCAGCTAGAGCTTCCAAAAACTTTAGGATATGCCCTAAACATTTTGGAACACATCAACTCGAATCAGAAAGTCAGGAAGGGGACCTGTCAGGGTTACATTGTAGTATAAAAAGGGAAGAAGGTGCTAAGTTAAACACTGGTGTTTATCGGAAACCCACACATTCAAACCAATATTGGATTTCCGATCATCCCACCCTATGTCAGTATAAACAAGATTGCTGAAATGTTTAAGTTATAGGGCACAAAAACTAAATAGTACCAAGGAAAAATCTAAGGCAGCCTTCAAACTTAATAATTACTCTGATAAATTAATCAGAAAGTACGTTGGAAAATGTAAAAATAAAAATAAATAATAATGGTAGTAGTGATAGTTATAAAAATAATAATAATATTAATGACGACATGCATGTCAAAATTGTACAGAATAATGACAATAGCAAAAATAGGGAATATAAATAATCAGTAGTACTTCTATACAGAGAAAGAACCTCGGAAAACTTACGTAGAATTCTTAATGAGGTAGGGATAAAAGTGGCATTCAGTTACACACGAACGCAGTTAGAAATAAGCTTTTTCGGTTAAAGGATCCTATGGTGAACAATTTATTTTTATTATTGTTCCCTTGGGTTCCTAGTGGAACATAGGGCTTCAACTGCACGTCTCCACTTGCTTCTGTATTCTGCTGTACTTTTCACCTGCGTCAATGTTAGTCCATACTGTTCCAACTCCTCTTCACACGATCTCCTCCATGTCATACTTGGACGTCCCACTCGCTGCTTCCCTTTCGGATTCCACTCGAGCGTTGGCCTGACGCGCGATGTCACCCAGTGGCCACCTCAGCGAGTGTCCAATCCATCTCCACTTTTTCCTGCATATTTGTTGAGCGATTGGTTCTTGTTTTGTTTTTTCCCATAGGTTCTTGTTTGTGATTCTTTCCGGCCATCTAATCTTCAGTATAGAAGGAAGACAGTTGTTGATAAAGGTCTGCAACAGGCTGTTGGAAATATTCTTTGTGACCCGCCAAGTTTCTGATCCATCCGTATAGAAGAACTGACTGACTTGACGTTTGTATTGAGAAATCCGAATTTTGTTGTTGATGATGAGTGACGAAGATTTCCAGATTGGTTTCAGGTTGATGAATGTGTTTCTCGCCTTCCCGATTCTCGATTTGACATCCTCGTCCGTTCCTCCTGCACCTGAGACAGTGCTCCCTAGAAAAGTGAATGAAGTAACCTCTTTCAAATCCCTCCCGTTGATGTTGATTGGCGCTGTATGCTGCTGTCGTTGTTGTTAGTTGGTTATTTTCATAACCTCCGCCTTGTCTATGTTCACCTGGAGTCCTGTCTTTGCTGCCAGCCTCTTCGACCAGTTTGTCGGTTTTCGCTTGTAAGTCTTCGATCTTGTGTGACATCAAACATAAATCATCCACGCGCGAAATCCAGGTCTTCTAGGTCATTCAAGTCGCTCCAGGATATCCCTGTCTTCTCGTTTCTCACTGTCTGATGCATTATCCAGTCCACCACAATTAGGAATATCATTGGTGATAATAAGCACCCTTGTCTGACTCCCTTGTTTACTCCAAACGCTTCGCTGAGTTTTCCGTTGTGGATCACTTGACATGTGCCGTTGTCATACAGCTGTTGAATAAGGTTGATGAATATTTGGGGTACGCCGTAGTACTCGAGTAGTCTCCAAACTTCTTCGTGGTCAACGCTGTCGAAGGCCTTCTCGAAGTCTATAAAGTTGAGGTATAGGTTTGATTGTCATTCCATGCTTTGTTCGATGATGATGTGTAGAGTCGCAATTTGGTCAGAACATGATTCGCCTCTCGTGAATCCAGCTTGTTCTGGTCGGAGTTCTGTATCCAGTGCGTCCTTGATTCTCTCCAGGATGATGCGACTCAGGATTTTACTTGGCGTCGATAGGAGCATGATTCCTCGCCAGTTCTTGCAGAGTCCTAGGTCGTCCTTTTTTGGTAGTTTCACGAGGTAACCTTTCCTCCAGCCAGTAGGCACCTTTCCTTCCTTCCAGATCTTCTGCAATAATGGAGTCAGCATTTCTGCTGTCGTCTCTGGGTCCGCTTTCAGTTCTTCAGGGGGTATTCCATCTGGTCCAGCTGCTTTTCCAGCTTTCAGAAGCTTGATTGCATTCAAGACTTCAGTTTTCGTTGTAGGATTGTTGTCAACTCGCAGTTGTGTACGTGCTGTTGTTGGTATTTCTGGACGAGTTGCAGGTGGTGGTCGGTTCAAAAGTCCTTTGAAGTATTCTGCCCATTGTTTAATCTGTCTTTCTTCCTTGGTAATTGGGTTCCCTTAGCTGTAATTCAGATGTTTCAATTGTGTTGATCTCTTTCCGGATAGAGACTTGGTTATCTGATATAATGTCCTCAGGTCCCTTTTGCCTGCTGCCTTCTCAGCTTCAGTAGTCAGGTTGTCGTAGAATTGTCTTTTGTCCTTCCTGACACTCTTCTTAGCTTCTTTGTCCAGTGCTGTGTAAGTTGAGCTCAGCGTCTCTTTCTCTTGTCCATCTTTGCATTGAATCATTTTCTCTTTCACCATTCTCCTCTCCTCTATTAGCTTCCAAGTGTCCGTTGGGAGCCATTCCTTGTCTAGTTTCTTCTTTCTTCCTAAAACCGTTAAACACGTTTCGTTGTAAATTACCTTCAGAGAGTTCCAATGGTTTTCCACGGATGATTCCTCATTGGTGCCACATAGTGTTTCCTGCTTTGCTCTGACAGTTGCAGTGAAAATGTCCCTTGTGGGTGTGTCCTTCAGTTTATGCGTGTTGAACTTGCATTGTGGCCTATCCCCAGCTATCCTCGAGGCTTTCAGCTTCACCTTGAAAGTCCCTTGTACTAGATAGTGGTCTGAACCCACATCTGCTCCTCTCCTCGATCTTGTGTCCAGTAGGCTCCGTCTCCACTTCCTTGAGATTGAAATGAAGTCTATCTGGTTTTTGGTGTGTCCATCTGGTGAAATCCATGTTGCCTTGTGTATGTCCCTGTGTTTGAACACACTGCCACCAATCACCAAATCATTGAAGGCGCAGAAGTCAGAGAAGAGTTCACCATTTTCGTTCATTTCACCGAGGGCCTCACGACCCATGGTGAGTTCTCTTCCTGTATTGTCTCCTCCCAGTTTCGCATTCATGTCGCCCATCAGGATCTTGATATCGCTCTTTGGGACGTTGTCCATTACTGTTTGTAGTTGACTGTAGAAATCCTCCTTCTTCTCTTGTTCTGAGACGTTTGTAGGCGCATAGCACTGAATGATTGTAACCTTCCTTCCTTTTGAGTTGAACCTGGCTGTCATTATCCTGGAGGAGAATGGTTCCCACTGCATGAGAGCTTTAGCCGCTGTTGGTGACATCATGATGGCTACTCCCTCGATGTGCTCGTGATCGTCCTCTGGGTGACCGGAGTAGATTATTGTCTCCCCAGTTGGTAGTTGGCACCTTCCGCATCCGTTCCATCTGCTCTCGCAGATGCCCAACACTTCTATTTTATATCTCCTCATTTCTGCGGCTACCTGGGCAGCCTTTCCAGTTTTGTGCATTGTACGAATGTTCCACGTCCCCAACCTTCTTTTTGCTTTCATCGAAAGAAGGCACATCGGCTGACTGGCTTCCCGAAGGCTTTCATCAGCCTGCGTCATTTCACTTCCCCGATTCCAGCGAAAGATAAGGTTATTGTTTGTATTTTTAGAATTTTGAATATATTTGTGCGTTGAAGTTTTAGTAGCAATTTGGTGAGGTTTTGGGGGTGGAGATGCTAGCACCACTCCCCAAACCTCCTTCTTTATCCGGGCTTGGGACCAGATAGATAACTAGTGAGCCAGTAATCTAGGCGAGGTTGAGACGTGGACGTATGTGAAAATTATCTTTGTTAACTGTCAGCGAAATTGAAGTAGAAAATTCCAACGTTTCCTTTGGTAAACTGTTCCAAACTTCTTCAAGAAAGTGATCGACATTAAAATAACAGAGGTATATATATTATGTATCAAAAGGAGACATTTTGTCTTTGAAAACCCTGTCCAATCATATGAGTCATGAACAGACATCAAAATATAATAGACAAAATTGCATGGATTGTGATTAAATTTTAAGCACAGACTTCTGTTAAAGACTGTAAACAGTGTGTAATTTTGCATCAGAATCTTAGGGATTACGTTCGACTAATGCTCATGTTCATAGATAGCTGAATATGAAAAATATACCTATGCGATAAACAAAATCAAGTGTTTGTGTGAATGGGAGAACCATTGCATATCCCTTGTTAACCTTTCCATAAGAAGGGATACATGGTCGGGAAAATAGATTCAGCATGGGAAATTAGTGATATATATCCATTATATTTATATATTAGGGCTAACTGTCCATCAGCTAACACGACAGCGTTGTTAGCTAACACATTATTTGAGAAAAATCACGGTTCAACCATTCTTTACATGATCTCCTGTATTTCACCCTCCGATATCTAAAATATCCCTTCACATTTGTGTACCACTTAATTCCATAAATCAGCGGATTCCAGTGTTTCTGCATGCATGCATCTCCGGTGATGTTGCTCAGTCTGTCGGATTTTTTCCAGATGACTGTCCGGAAGGTGTATTTCGTTGGTTTGTTTCAGTTCCTAAGTACTGCACTTGAACTCTGATCTACCTTCAGCTTCTTTGAAGCCTTTCAACTTGACTCTGAATATGTTCAACCACACAAGTTAGTGCACTCAGTTCACGTCTGCTCCTCTTCTTGGTTTTGTTTCCACTGGGCTGCGTCTCAATTTTTGAGAGACTGGCATGAAGTGAATATTATATTTCGTTTAGTTGAACTGAAGTCATCTCGTGAATATCCTAGTCGTACCTAGTCGACAAATTGTTGGCTGCTCAGATGTCTGCAAAGTGTTCCCATTCTCACTTATTTAAACGAGTGCCCCTGGAATCCGTGACAAATTCTCTCACAAAGGGAATAAAGCGTCTAATCTACTTGGTTGATTTTTGTTGTAGCCGTCTGATTTTATCTTTAGAAAGCAATACGTCGTACTCATACAAATTTCTGAGTGCCCTTGAATACGACTGTAGACATTCTTTGACGGAGCAACGCTTTCCGAGTCAGCGTTATTCAGGTCGAATACTACTCTGTGGAATTACATAGTCTGGATCACTACTTCACTTTAAATTTATGTATAAAATGTACATAGAACATGCTTGGAATTTTGTACTGTCTATAAACATATTATTCAGAACAAAGCGAAAATTGTTATTGGTTGTAAAATTGTTATTTACTTCCAGTACAGCAGGCATATCACCCAAATCAATTTCGCTGACATCTGGGTCTCACTCAGTACTGTTTTCAGTTGTGTGTCGAAATCCTCTCTGTTCTCTCAGTCTGCGTAGATTTTAGTTGTGCAACGTTATATAATCGTAACTTTTTTTCATACCGAGGTGATTCGTGCTCTAGTCCTGTTTCGGAACATTAAGTCCAACTGCATAAACGTTATTGCTGCTATTGGTGAAATCATGATAGCCGTATTCTCAATAACCTAGTAGCTGTCATCTAGACGATCAGAGGCGGTTATTCACTCTTCATTAAATAACTGGGAATGTCAACTAGCTCCCACGAAATCCTAACAAAACAATAAAGTATCTTGCCATTTCTTGTGCAAACTGAGCATCCCTGCCAGCCTCAAACATTTTACACAGACTCCATGTGTTTATGCATATTCTGCCTTATATCGAAAGAAGAGGCGTTGTTGTCTGTCTCCATAGATACCTGTATCCTCCAGGATTAACCGCCTCCGAATTGAGGAATCATTCACGATTGAACAGAAGAAGAAGTTGTTTACAAGCTCAGAACGTTCATTGGATGCGAGACTGTTTACCACTGGGTGGAATTACAAGTTGCCAACCAGCATTCTCTCCTGCACGTCTTTAAAAACGGCTAGTAAAATAGACAGTGAGGTAATCTGCTTTTATAAGTCCTACTGAAATTATACTGCATCAAATGATCGAATAAATGAAGAGCAAAACATTCGCTGAGGCGAGACAGAAAAGAAGTGTGTGTGTGATTTTCACTTTGCGATTTGGCATACCTAACCTGTAATTCATGCCATTCAGCAATCAAATGTCTGGAACATCTTCAAAAAATGGGTGCAGAGATCTAAGTCACTCACATAACTTGTTTCCACAATCTCTGTTTTATCGAATACTTTAGTCTGTTGAATGAAGTGTAACAAACTCTTCAGATTACTGTTATCGTTTTGGAAAACATGAGACTCATAGAGATAAAACTGTTTGATTTTGATGTTTAACAGTATGACCAAAGTACAATAATTCATGTGTGGAAGAGTGATAATTGGAAGAAATACACCTTCAATGCTACTGAAGATGGACACACGGTTATAATCTCTGGTATTTGGAATCTAAACGACTTACAACATGACGATGATTGGAGTAGATATTTTGAACAAAATATCAGAGATTTTGGAGGTGAGTTAATTTGAGACGTTATTTGAAGCGAATGATTTCAACAAGCAATCTGAGGTGTGGATATTCCTCGAGTGGTTCTATTTTGTATTTCATCTTACATCTTACGTGAAGTCAATTTTGCTTTACGGATCAGAAACTTGGCGAGTCACCAAGAATATTTTCAACAGGTTGCAGACCTTTATCAACAACTGTCTTCGCTCCATACTGAAGATTAGATGGCCAGAAAGAATCACAAACAAGAAGCTATGGGAACAAACGAAACAGGAACCAATCGCCCAACAAATATGCAGGAGGAAGTGGAGATGGATTGGACACTCGCTGAGGAGGCCGTTGAGTGACATCGCGCGTCAGGCCAACGCTCGAGTGGAACCCGAAAGGGAAGCGGCGAGTGGGACGTCGAAGTGTGACATGGAGGAGATCGTGTGAGGAGGAGATGAAACAGTATGCAATAACATGGACGCAAGTGAAAAGTACAGCACAAGACAGAAGCAAGTGGAGACGTGCAGTTGAAGCCCTATGTTCCACTAGGAACCCAAGGGAACAATAATAATATAATAATATCTGTGTTATGAGGTAGTTTTAAGATGAGCGTTAATTCTCAGTGGTTACAGCTAGCTAGTCGACTCTCCTGCTCCAATGGTGGTCATTCAATAAAAGGTGGTTGGAATCAGTGGAACAAATATTTTTCCACATCAAAATAGAATCATACATAAGGCCAACCAATTCTCACGTGAGCACAAACTGGTCTTGTGATGACATGATATCCTGGACATCAAAATACTGCCTTGATAAAATGCTAATTACCAGTGTTTAACTTGGAAAATCCTACTGCAGGACCTGGTTATTACTCATTTGTCTCATCTCATTCGGAGAACAGCAGCAATACCAATCTGAGTAAATTAATGGATAAATTCTCAGTAATATTTCGACTAGAGAACACTAATTATTATTATTATTGTTATAAATTTGCCAGTAATTATTGTTTCGACTTCACAGAATGTAGAAATGTAGAACCACTTGGAGTGCATAAGTATAGGCCTTGTTTACCAGTGTCCTTGACATATTTGAATTTCAAACAGTCAACGAAGCTTAGTAAAGCAGGATTTAATGAATTCATCAAATTTTGTTACAACTCTTCATCAGCTGAATACTTTACACACAAGTATATAAATCTACCATTAGAATCACTAAGGGAGATATCAGACTGATAAGCAAATAAACTAAACTGAATTATTATTATTATTTAATAATAATAATATTATTAATATTAATAATAATAATAAATAAGATAAGAAAAAGGGAGTATTGGAGATTGAAATTAGGATCAAAAGGAATTAACCATCAGAGAAAGAACTTGAATACATCAAGAAATGTGAACTGAGTAGTAGTGACAATAATAGTGAAGTTAATAGCAATAGTATTGAAACGTGTTAAGATAATGGCACTAATAAGAGACAGTTTTAAAGGATTCAGGAATACTAATAAAACGCAAACTGAGGTATGGAATAAAGTGTTAATAATAATTTTGATAGCATTATTAGAAGATGGAGATTATCTGAAAAATGTGATGTGTTTGCGCCATACATTTCGAACAATCTGATCAGACATTTACTTGTCAAGTCAATATTTATGGAAAGGGTAAATTAAACAAGGTGACAAAAAAAAGAATTAAGAATAATTAACACAAACGTTTGGTAATGCAATCAAATTCTTAATTCTTTTTTGTGTCACTTTGTTTAATTTAACCTTTTCATAAATGTTGACTTAACAAGTAAATGTCTGGTCAGATTGATCGAAATGTATGGCGCAAATTCATCACAATTTTCAGATAATCTCCGTCTTCTAATAATGCTATCAAAATTTATAAAAGGGACTAATTGTTAATAATAATGATAATAACAGTTACTAAGTAAGACATATTACCATGGTAGATTCAGAGTGACCACCATTTCCTCTTGTACACACAGACCTGGTTTGTAGACTCAAATTGCACAGGCATCCTCAATTTCAAGCATCTCCCTGTCCGTCTGCCTGCTGACGACGGTGAATGACAGACAGCATTAATAACAGATCCGTAGTCCACAAGGTGTTTTGTTATTGAAATTTTTGGCACTTCGACTTCAGCCACTTTCAACCACCTTGACAAATACTCCATCATGCCAGTAGACAATCGCCTTTCTCTACAACATATACACATATTCGATGAATTCATTGAATCCTGCTTTACTAACAGCTGTTGGTTGTCGCAAATTCTTTTTGGGAAATAAATGTTTCTCAATATTTGAATTTGTGGATTAGATTACTCCTCATTCACTCTTATTTTCTCCCTGTGTTAATAGTACTAGTTCTATTGTTTACAGGCACACTCACAGAATCAATAGAAGTCCTTGGTGGTGAGGCTGAAATATGGAGCACACATGCGGATGAGACCAATGTGATCTCACTGGCTTGGTGAGTACCGTTCGTGAATAATTTTCAAAAATTTCACTGAAATCATTGACTGTTTATTGGAAATGTTTCAGTTGAATTGAGCTGACATGGAGCCAGTGTTCTGTTGATAGTTAGTGAATGCAGAAGTTTTTAGTTCCACTCAGAATAAATTGCAATTGTCAGATAATTTGATGACCAACATTGATGAATGTGCTGATCACTAGAACCAGCGTGATCAGAAAATGAGATACTTGACCCTTACTTAGACTAAATATCACGTCGTACACATTTTATTGATGCATTCAATCCCGATAGAACGTAGTTTTCTTATCCGAAAGCTGTGATTTATCGGTAGTGTGAGGTGAGTGAATAATTGGATATAATTTCTAGTCTTGATGTTAGTTTCTTTGGAGAAATGTATTGGTGTCTTTTCCATGGAGCAGTAAATTTTCATCTTTTCAGTCACTCCTCTGCATTTCTCCTAATCGGAGAATAGCTGAGAAGTGATCATCATTATGCGTTCATGAGGAACAAAACCTAGTCCCATATAAAATCGGTCACAGTAGAATTTCAGCCACTAGTCACTGTTACATTTCCGAGCTGTGGGAGTTTCGCCTTAATTAAGGGAGCATTTACTCATCTTTATGTGAAAAACTCGATCAGGAATTCAATGACAATTTTGTCTCTTTCCTGAAATAATTTCAAATATTGTTAGAGAGAACTGGCTTTTACAGGAGATGATGCAAGATGATTTTCAATGTCTGACAAAATGTGAACTTATTACAGTTTGATTTCCTCTGCTGTATTCACAAAGATTTTTGTATTCTCTGATCTCCGTAACAAATGTAGGCCCAGAGGTGCCGCCGTGGCTGAACGACTCTGGTCGAAGCACACTGTAAATGTTAGTGAATTTGGAGAGAGAGTGGAAGAACTTCGATGCAGGATGCGCCAGTGAGTCTTTATATTCTGACATTCATGCATACTCCGTTTTAGTAGTAGACGGTTAAATGATGTTTTATGTAATTTACGGGCCACCAGACGGCTGATTACGTCTGTCTACAATGGACGGATATGAGCTTCATGCAATTACGGGGTACGCAATGACTAACGTTGGAAATAATAAAATTTGATTAGGTAGGGGTGTGAAGGGAAGAAGTTCTCCTAATCAGACTGTTGGAAATTAACATTGTCAGTGGAAGTACAATGTAATTATTATTGTTGTATTCTAATGTTAACTTATATTGCCTGTAGACAGAAGTGTCAACACACTGTGATGTGAGTTTTATTCACTTCCGCTGTCAGAATAAGCTCTGGACTTTCACCTGTAATCGTGACAAGGCATACTAGTTTCGCTTCTAGTGGTGGATCTGATTTGACTTTTATTTCATTTAGCCTCAGCTGAAAGAGAAAATGTGGACGACTTAGGTGTCTATACTTCACCACTTGTGGTGTCATTCAGCGGAGTGTAAAATTCAGTGACCTGTTTGAGCAGCATACAACAATCGGATGTTGACTAGGCAGTTCTAACACCTGTAAAGTGTACAACATCTGAGAGATCTTCACTGGTGATGTCTAATTACACCTGCTGTGCTGATGGGGATTGTTGTCTGCGAGTGATGCTACTACGGCTACTGATGAATTTAACGATGATGACTCTGTGAAGTGGTCAACGAATTCATCAGCCTCGATGAAAGACAACCAATTTACTACTTCCCTTATGGGTAAATTTTTATTTTGATAGAGTCTCACAGTGTTATACAGTAATATTTACTGATGACGTTTCGAGCACAAACTATTGCTCATAATCATATCAAGTTGATATCAACTTGATATGATTATGAGCAATAGTTTGTGCTCGAAACGTCATCAGTAAATATTACTGTATAACACTGTGAGACTCTATCAAAATAAAAATTTACCCATAATGGAATTACACTCTACCACAGTGCCCAAGTTTTATTCTTAAACCAATTTACTACAACGACAAGTAGTTGTATTGTGCTTGCTGTATTAAAAACCCACTCACAACGTGTCATGGCTTACTTTGTCGCTGACTGTTCTACTCTCTGCTGATTGCTTACACCAGTTATTTGAAGTGTGAAACAACACAGCTTATACTGTATCTTTTATTTAAATTTATTTTGCGGCATAAATTAGGAACAACGTACCAGTTCATCCTCTCAGTGGTTCAGGTTTCTGTCAATACTGAATTTTGAAAAGACAGTCAAACTGAAAAATGTGTGTCGTAAGATTGTGATTCACTTTTTTTGTACTGTTTTCTATTGAGAATTTAAATTTGAATTACTTCTATCATACAGTACAATATATCAACTTTTGAAGCAAGTACTTCCTGAGTTTGCTGTCACATCGTCTCAGCTCAGCAGGGCGTCCTTGGAAAACACGACTGAAATGTATTTGCCAAAGTCAGTTATTCTTTGATAAATGATTTGTCTGTTGGTGTGAAGCTACTCAGCGTCATCTCACTCTGTTGTATATACTTTAGACTGCCTCACTTTGTTCAACAGTACTAAGGGACATTTGATAGAGCTGTAAGTGTGTGTACCTGCTAAGTGGTTAGTGAGGATAACAGACAACAGCTTCATCAAATCGTTATGAGACTATTTTCATACATGTGCCATATAAAAATTTATAATTTCTGCCTTCGGGTAACAGATCCTGAATTCACTACCTGCTCATAAATGTTACAACAAATTGTTTGGCTGAAAATCATCTCCTAGCACTGCATTCAAACTCAGAAACCTGTCAACTGACAATTAATACGTAATTCTGCTTCATTTTCAGTCAGAATATCTTCACTCACTTGTATTGACATCCAACCATTGTTATAATGGACGATGACTGAAGGTGAAATGGTGATCTAGATTGTGGTAGAACTGGAGCTAGTGTCTTCATCAATACAGGTGGAGAAATGAGATATCCTGAGGCACTTTCACGCAAACAGATATTCCAGCTATGTGAGAAGTTGAGATAACACTCCTAAAACAGCCAACTGCAACATCCAACATGAATACAGCATTCTTCTATGCCCTACTTGAGAAAATTCAAGTCGTAGTTTACCGTCTCTGTTCTACTTATACAAGAATGCTGAGACGAAAACGCGGCGAGTTTCATTTGAAAGGTAAATTATATGCTAATGTAATGAATACTTGGCCCGTCCTTCACCAGCTAAGCTGCGATGGATACTGTCAAATTTTGAAAATGTATTCAGTTTTCATATGAAATATTTTCAGACTTATCTGTTACCTAGAAACAACAAAAATTAATTTCAGCGGCCTACTAGGATCTACCCGACGAGTATTTTCAGCATTCAGTAGGTAACTGGAACTGGCTTCTTATTTTTGATATTTGGAGGCGATAACATACACAATTCGTGCAGGATTTCTTTCCAAGGATAGCTGTACCAAAAAAACTATAAATGCGATTCCACAGTGAACAAGTTTTACACGTATATCAATAAATGCGATTAGTTATAGTTTCAGGTCTCAAAAATTATGTTTGTTTCTTGTTTGATAAATCCGCATCCAAGAGTTGCTTCTCATGAAGGAAATAAGAGAAAATTCACCCAGGAAACTTCTCCTTATCGTCGAAATCTTATTTATATTGACCAAAAAGTGCCAAATAGCACATTATTGAGTAATATCTAGGTGACAATTGAAAACAAAGTGTCAGGTAAAGCAAGTTCAGCAAAACGGTTCCGACAGTTCAGAACGGTGAAGATATCATCCACTCAGGAAGTGGGCTACCATTACACTTGACTGCCGGATTAAGTACAGTTGTGGCGTCCACATACCTTCAGGTGGAATGAATCAACTTCCTAATATCCACGATCCCAGGTTCCCGTGAACAGAAGGATGCTGGTGTGAGGTGTAGGATTAAGGGGTGAAATTGTGTTACCACACGGCGGGCTTCTCTGGTCAAAACAAAGGTGAAAATGTGTGGCGCAAAGACAATCCGACTTGCGAATGACTGGAAAATGTGGACTGAAGCTAGCATTATTCGTGATTACCTCTGACTAGCGATCTAGAGAATAACGGAAGCCTGAGAAACCAACATTGTTTTGTCTAAACGCCAGAACGGAAGAACCGAAGGTTGAACTATTTGAGTTTCGCAGCCAAGTTATATCGCGACATTGCTCAAGTGAAGATTGGACCAACTTTTGAATTAGACGTATCACTTTTCAAAGAACCCTATTTCACAATTTTCATTTTAGTGCCTGATATATGTGTTACATGTAATATTGGTATCAGAATCATACTAAAATCTAGTAATGTCACCAGCCATTCCATCCGAGGACATTACACAGGATGATTCAGTACTGGAGAGGCTCCAGTGTACAAGGTTATTTTCATATTTAGTATCGATCAACAGACTTCATGATGTGGACACATGAGAACAGGTCGTTTCTCTAGATTAACATTATATCTTGCCAAGTATCCTGAGTTTGAATGAATTTCTGATGGGTAGAGACACAAGCTGACTGTAAACCAGATGTCAAGTATTGGTGAAAAGCACTACTAGCTACCTCGAATAGGAATCCAAAATTACTAGAGCTAAGCATGAGTTTAAGTAAAGAGGACTGCAGTTTTTATGAATGCACAGCCATCTCTATGCAATATCTGTCATCCTCCAGTGACCGGCGTGCTAGGCTTACCTGTGACTTCGTCCACACAGCTCGTAAGTAAGCAGAATTTAGATCGCCTAATACAGCAGATATTAATGTCTGAGGAATCACAAATCTGTCATTTAGACATGAGAATTCTCTAGGATGCATTGAAGTCTCATCTTTTCATCCGAAGAAGTTTGAAGACTTTTGTGGATAGTGATTAATTCTTTCGACACACAGAGAAATTGCGCAATAATTTTTTACGAGCTGGTAGAAACCAAGTTGATTCTTTTATGCTCGCTTCTCGGATTACCCAATAGAGGTTCTTAGTCTTTTGTAAACTTCTACCTAGTATGTCCCACTCAACTGGCGTGGTTTTGTTAACTTCAAGATGTGTGGATCGCGAATTGGCTATATGTGGCTTACAGTATTAGGTGTGTATCGTGTATACTTAAAAAGTGCCACATAAAAAGAGATGGATGATGAAATGTAACAACTGAAATAAAATAAATAAAAATACTTTTAAAATGTAAAACAAAATAAGTTAATGAATCGATAGAGTCGTCAGAAGAGTGAGACAAGGGAGAATGAGAAGTGGAAAAGATGAGTTGAGAGGTGAACCCATTAGTTGCGTAGTGTGTGACTTTTGAGGTAATATGAACTGGACGCAACCCCTGAGTTTCTTCGTGAATATCCAGCCTCCGCTTACAGCTTTACACGAAAGGTTCAGTAGCCACAGCTTCTGCACACTGTTGCAGAGCACATGACCGAGTGGCATCACAAACTGGGGAATTTCCAGAGGTGAGATTTTCTATCTCCGTCTGTAAAATCGCGAGTTTACTGTGCACTGTAACCAATAGGTTTTCACTCAGTATTTATAACAATCTACAAGAATCTCACCTAATATCGTTTGGGAACGATTCATTGTGTTCGAAGCGTCATCCGGTGGTTAATAATGTTCCACTGTATGATACATCCCGCAAACAAATAAAAATGAAATTTTTAACAAAGAGGGAAATGTACAGCGAATACCATCCAACCACTTGAAGATAACTAGGCCAGATGAAATAGAGTGTTAGTACAATAAGTGGCATTCATTCCAGTAGAAATGAACAACTATGTTCACGATGTAACAAATATAGCTTCATGCTACTTATAAAGTTAAACAGTAGTGAGTAGTAGGAATGCAAGAAATTAACAGGTGAGCCATGTAAATCAAGGTTTCCATCCTCTCCAATATAGAGTCAGATCTTCTCACAATGTAATGCTTTAGACTCCGATATACCTCCTTTGGGTAGGCGCTTTTCAGCGTCCTATGTTTTTGAAATTTTGGTGATTTTCTTGCTGTTTCTAAGATTCTGTGTCTCACCAGGGCCGAGTTTAGTTTGATGAAACATTGTGTTTTTGAAAATGTTCGGGATAATTATTACTAAGCAATGATTACTCTTGTGCGTCGGTGGCATAGAGGTTAGGACGTTCGTCGACCATGCACATGGTCCGGAGTTCGATCCCCGGCCGGCACACCCCTTTACCTCGCTAAGCCAGAAATAATGCTAGTGAAGAGGAAAGGTTGAGCAGGAGGCAAGCAACCCCATCCCGTAAAATAAACACACTTAAAGAAACTTCAAGTCACTAGCTTAAACCCCTATGATCCACCAGGGGAACGTGAAGGAAAAAAAATGACAAACATATATCACTTCTCTCCTAATGCAATCATCAAGAAGGGTATATTTTAACTCACTCTTATGAGCAGTTTCAGGTATATTAAGCATGAAAATGTTTCTTTTTCTCGGTGAACGTCGATGAAATTCTGCGTCGACGAAACCATCTAGACCGGCGAAAGGCAGTGTAAATTTCTTAGAATCAGCATTGACGTTTTGAGGCTTTCCAATGACACATTTCAACCCGAAAGTGAAATGAACTCATTTTCACCGAATAAATGACTTCCTTACTTACTACAGGATGTGAGATACTTTAACGAGAAAATGGAGCACATAGCTCATTCCCTTCATCCGTCAGGTTAAGTTAACACTATGGACTAGTTACACGATATCCGCTCCTAATACAATTAGTTTGCCTGGGAAGGTCTATAAGTGACACTACTATAGATGGAGAGTCGTGTTGTTGTGTTGATCAGTTTAGAGCTACTTGCATCAAGCAGCAACTGATAGGACAACAAGAGATCTATACCAATAGGCCACTATGAAAATTCAGCGGAAAGAACATCTTGGTTTGATGTTACGGTCTAAGAAGCTTCTGCTATATGTCATGATTAGCGAAGTGTTGGCGGCGAATAGTTGTAGAGATGCTGGCCACAAACGCTCTTCTGTTGTAGTTCGGGATGACGCTAGCCGCCGCTCTGGTGTAAAGCAAATGAGTATCCCGAAGTTACAGTCTGTGACAAAGAAGAGGCTACAGGTGAGCAGTTGAACGTTCACGTTAATAGCGATTACGTGACGGCGCACCTGCTGATCAAATTGTAATTCTATGCATTGTTTTTTGGTTTAGCGAAGTAATTTCTTTTCAACGACTTCATTTTCAAGCTGTACAGTCGTATTTATATTACAGAAAAGGTCATAAAGTGGCACTAAATAATTGTTCAGTCAATATACATATATGTGATAAGAATAACGATAATTAAAATGTTATAAGGGGTAGAGTTGAAGTGGATAAATTACAGAATTATTAAAGATTGTTTTATAAGTGAATTGAAAT